ACTTCTGATTTCGTCGGGGGGTCAGTGTTCACTGGTAGTTCTGCTTCCGTTGTTGGTATTGCTGGACGTGTTGTAGGTGGCGGACGATTTAGAAGTCTTTTGAAGTGTTCAACCCAGTGCTTTCTCTGTTCCACCTCTTTGGTGATTGACTTTCCATTGTCGTCCTTTATTGGCTTAATCTGTGTCGAACGTTTGCCCGAAAGGTTCCTAGTTGTTTGGTAGAGTGTGGCGAGGTCTCCTTTGCCTGCAGCTTGTTCTGCTTCGTTTGCCATGGTTTCATAATATTTTCTTTTGTCTTCCCTGGCACTTTTCTTCACTCTTTTGTTCAGTGTATTGTAGCTTGCATTCAGCTCCTGTTTTTGTTGCTCGTCCGTGCACTGGATAATCTTTTGCTTCACTGTCCTTCTCTCTTCTATTAGTTTCCAAGTGTCCGTAGTGAGCCACTGTTTGTCCTGTCTCTTTTTTCTGCCTAGAATTTCTATGCAGGTTTGGCTCCACACCGTTTTCAAGTTGTTCCAGTGCTTTTCAACGCCGACCTCTTCGCTAGTGTTGATTTGTGTCTCGGCTTTGTCCTTTATGCTTGCAATGAAGATGTCCTTTGTAGCCTGGTCCTTCAGCTTTTGAGTGTTGAACTTGGCTTGTGGTCTATCTGCAGCTCCTGATTCCCTGAAAGCTTTTAATTTGATTTGGATTGTCCCTTGTACGAGATAGTGGTCTGAGCCAACGTCTGCTCCTCTTCTTGCTTTTGTGTCCAGTAGGCTGCGCCTCCACTTCCTTGAGATTGAGATGAAGTCGATTTGGTTTTTGGTTTGCCCGTCTGGTGACACCCATGTAGCCTTGTGGATATCTTTGTGCTTGTATACACTGCCACCAATCACCAGTTCGTTGAAGGCGCAGAAGTCGGCGAAGAGTTCTCCGTTTTCATTCATTTCTCCTAGAGCTTCTCTACCCATGATGAGTTCCCTTCCCGTATTGTCTGGTCCCAGTTTGGCGTTCATGTCTCCCATTAGTATTTTCATGTCGCCAGCTGGAGTATTGTCCATTGTTGCCTGTAGTTGCCTGTAGAATTCTTCTTTCTTCTCGAGGTCTGCGTTGTTTGTGGGTGCATAACATTGTATGATTGACACTTTCCTTCCTTTGGAGTTGAACCTGGCGGTCATTATCCTGGACGAAATCGCCTCCCATTGTATCAGGGCTTTCGTTGCCGTTGGTGACATCATGATAGCCACGCCCTCGGTGTGCGTGTGGTTATCTTCTGGGTGACCGGAGTAGATCACTGACTCACCTGTTGACAATTTGGTGAGTCCACTCCCATTCCATCTGCTCTCACATATTCCCAGCACTTGTATTCCGTATCTTTTCATCTCGTTGGCGATCTGGGCAGCTTTTCCAGTCTCGTACATAGTTCGAACGTTCCATGTTCCTACACAGACTTTTTCTTTTGGTGCAAGGAGGTTCAGCATACTGAAGATTCTGTAGCAATTTTTGTTTACAGGGTGGGGTTGCTAGCCTCACGCCTGAGAAAAGAATGATTACATTAAGTAAAAGTTTAGAGAGAAGCAACTTTTTGGGTTGCTCCCCTCAAAATCAGAAAATAACGGACAAACAATGAGAACAACATCAACAAAGGAAACAGTTCACAGAAAAAAGGGCAAAAAGCGACGACAACTATACAATAAGACAACATGCAATATAGTTCAGTACATATAACTAAAATGATATCTTAACCATAAACTCACTGACTTGGAGCAACTTGAACATATAAATCCAACAATATATACAATTATAGATGTGTTTATGTTTAAAAATTCCACAAATCCAAACAGTGAGTTATGTGTATTATCTGTCAATAAGATTGTATTTTTTGGATTCAGTGTTCGAAAGGTTAATAATTGTGATAATTTCCGCAAACACTTTGCATAAAATTTTAGAGTAATAAGATATTTTATTTATGACCAAAATGTAGCGTAATAGTCGAAAAGCGCGCGCAAAAAGCGTCAGAACTAATACTGTGATTTATTATTGTAATAATTGTTCACGGACCTTAGTGGAAACATTTTCTATATGTTGGTGTAACAATAAAGAATCCTCGAGTCAACAATTGGTGTTTTGGTTTTCCGTCCGTTGTTACTAAGCGTTTCTGAAAAACTTCAAGGAACATCCTGAGCCTGAGCGTAGCAAGAGCTGGGCATTAACGATTTACGAGACGTGGCTGACAACTAGTGTGTAGTTTGCCTTCTTCTTCTGTTCGTTTTATTTTACAATCATAGCCAATTCTCCTAGTTCATTTTCTGATTCAAATGTGAATTTTATTCCCTCTTCTTGTGAGTTTGCATGTTTCAGGAGGCTAGAGATATGTTCTGATTTTAACATCGTGAAAGTGTCATCCACATATCTCCGCCTTATTTTTGGAGTAGGAGTAAACGTATTAAGAGCATTACTTTCCCAGCTCTCCATAAATATGTCTGCTACGATAGGGGATATTGGTGATCCCAATGCTACAACTTCTGTTTGTCTATATATTTTGCCTTGGAACTTAAGGATGGTAGATGTGAGACATAACTGAATCCCTAATATAATTTCTTCAATGGGCAGCTTTGTCCTATGATTCAGTTCAGGATCCGCAGTTATTTCTTTTTTAACCGCTTCTAAGCCCATAATGACTGGTATATTAGTGTAAAGACTAGTTATATCTAAACTAACCATTTTTTCATCATTCTCTAGTGGAATGTCGTTTAGCTTATTTTTCATCTCCTATGAATTAGTTAGTGTAGAGTTTGAACGATTTCTAATGAGACAAAGTATTAAAGCTAAGTGTTTGGATAATTCATAATTGGGGGTATTACTAAAATCCACTATTGGTCTTGTGGGGTAGCCTGGCTTATGTATTTTAATAGTACCATATATTCTACTAGTTTTAGGCAATTATTAAACCATTTAGACTCACCCAGTGACGGCTTCATTCTGCGTATTAGTTCTGCTGTAGATTTCTTAACCTTATTCATTATTGTATCCACAGGCTTCTTAATTTCTTCATATGGACCCATTTGAATATGTTCAGTAACTTTTTTGATATAGTCAGATTTATTCAGAACTACGGTGGCGTTTTCTTTGTCAACTTTTGCGATCACAATATTTTTATCCTGTTTTAGACTAAATAAAGCTTCTCTTTCCGATTTTGTTTAGTTTGATTTTTCAGGGTTAACGCACATTGTGCTCTAACCTCTTCTGCTGTCGTTCTATCTATTGAGCTTAGTGCTACTTCTATGTTAGGAATAACATCCTCTGGTTTTAATTTATTAACTGCTACGTTGAAATTTAGTCCTTTCTAAAGTAAGTTTACCTCACAGGAGCTTAGTTCTCTTGATGAGAGGTTGATCAACCATTTTGTTCTATCAATAGAGGATGAAGTTTTGACATCAATCTCATTTGTTATGTTCTTTTCTTCCATTAGTTTGTTGAATTTTTTGATTCGTGTGGTGTTTGATTTTCTTAAGGCTGATTCCCTAGCTTTTTCGGATATTTCAACAACGATTACACAATCTTTGTCACTGACCATACATTTGAGTTTCTGTCTGAGTTTTTCGATTTCATTTCGTATATTATTTAGTTTCACAGTAACTCGATGTAGTTCTTCTCTTAGGCATAATCTACTGAGATATTCAGCTGATGATGATATTTTCCTTGAAGTAATTGGAGTGCGTATTATCGCCATCAGTCAAATCAGAAGATATTAAATAATCCTAAAATTCTATTTCAATTCAAACACGATATTCTAACAAGTAGCTTATTATGACTGTAAAAAACACTCTTCCTTTTTTCCCATCTAACTGCAATTGATCAACAACACTCGTACTATTATTTCTGAATGTACAGCTCTAAATATATACTATTCGCCCAGCCTATTGTTGAGATGCGACCATGTGGGATGTGCACAGATTTATGGGGCATCTTATAAACTAACTTGCTGTCCATTGACTGATCTTTAAATACCACTTCACAATGTTTTATCTCATTCATTTTCCAATAACGTCTTTACTTGATCCTCATTATATCCCATTAAACCTAACATTTTACAGCTCTTTATGACTTATTATATTCCTACTCTCTGAAGGGTACGGTTGTACATTAAATGCACAAAAAAGGTATAAAACAAAAACAACTGGCACAACTGAGGATAAATGTATTAAAACCAAAAGTGGACATCATGATAGTACGAGGTATACGTGTAGCATTATACATTGCAAATGAACGTTGTCAGCCTAGGGAGTTTTCTTTTTTTAATGCATTTATTAATGATACTTGCACTTACCTATTTCATTACAATTAAATGATTCACCTCAGCACTTTTACTTTTCTAAAACAGCTTTCAATCCCTTGTAGAAGTTGTACTTACCTCAATATTGGTTGGTTATCGTATGCCGACAACCACGGGATGAAAACGAAACGAAGTCGATTTTCCCGCTCAACCTGGAGGACAATTGTACAATTCAATAACTATACAGCCTAGTTCAGACAATGTGTATTTATATATATATCAAATATTTAACTGTTGAAACATTATTAACTTGTAGACAATCTATGATTTGATATTATATCATACTTGATCGTGCCTGTAAAAATGGCATGCATTTTCATGTGAATTTATATGTTTATATGAGAATATACATTATTATTATTATTATCTCACATTGATTTTTAATCCAATATCTAATCGATTCTACACGTGTATATAAATGAAAGAACAAAGTTGTGTGAGTAACTTGATATGATTATGAGCAATAGTTTGGGCTCAAAACGTGGTCATCAGTTAATATAACTGTAAAACACTGTTTGATTTATCAAAATAAAATCTTATCCATAATGGAGTTATACTCTACCACAGTGCCCAAGTTTTATACTTGCGTCAGAAAAATGTCTTAGTGCAAGGTTTCATCTGAAAAAATGTCATTGAACCATCATACCAACAGACAACGACGTTACAATAAGCAGGAATATGCAATAAATACTTTCGATTACTGTCCTTGTTATCTAAATAGGCAAGTGAAGGTCATTGGATGACCTAAGTCTTGGCGCCTCTTACGCTAAAAACACGAGTTATGGCAATTGATTATGTAATTCTCCGAGAAAAAGCGGAGAAAACAGTCAAATACAAGACTCCAAGGGGCAAAGAAGTTTGTCTTACAAGAGAGATTTATCTGAGGGATGATGTATCCTGTAGAAGTTCACTCTGTTTTAAACCTGAGTGTCATCAAGGTAACGCTACCTATATTATTTTATTTCCTCAGCCGGGCGGTGTCTTCCGAAAGATCTGCAGACTTATGTCTTGGTTGACGGCTTTTACGCCATGAACTACTGGGAAGTCTTCGAATTGGATGAAATAAAAGGGATAATTATTTCCCTTTCATCGGCTAATTTTGTATGTTCACATCGATTGCAAATATTCTGATTTTTAGGTTCAGCAACAAGCCTCAACAAAGCGTCCTTATAACAGACTTCGGTCAAGCCTTGAAGATGCAAGTCAAGATTGCATTCTATTTGATAATGAGTTTCACCGTTCCTGCTTCCGTCCTCCACATACAGATGAAAGTCTTAAAGATTACACAACCAGGTTTGTGCAAAGTTTTGCTTAACTCACATTAACAGGATGAACTGGATCGCTGCCAACTGGTATAGCAATCACCTTGAAGGGCGTTTTTCAATAGTACTTGTAACGGATAATCAGAGTTACGTCAACACGTGTGCGTCCAAAACTGACGTCACATCTTGTGGAGTGATTGTGAGTTGCCCAAGCTTCAATATACCCGTGTCTAGCTATAAGTTACCATTTTGTAAAGTAATAATTTTCCCGCTTTGTATGGTTATATTACTTTCAGACTCTTATTTTCGTCATGGACCCGACAAGTTCTGTTTGTATGATCGTTTATATCCTCTTGTAATCATCTGTATTTCATGAGAACATTATCCATCTGTCCTGAAGTTACGGGTTAATTAATACCCAAATAGTGGTCCAGTGTTCCAGAAATAGATCATAAATGTCTTCAGTGAGTCCGTATTTCAAGCCGGCACTTTTTTTGAACAAACTTTAACGAAACTAAATCAGGGTAGTAGCAACATTTCCTACCATCTGTAGCCATATATCCATTGTGCTACGCTGTCTTTCACTTTATTCCAGTTCCACTTCGTGGTCATTACAGCTTTCCTTACGTACTTAATTGTCTTGTGTTATCATAGGTAGAGGTGTATTATACCTGAAACCTTATCTAACTGCAACAACAAAAGGGACCTGGTTAGAACTCTGATAAATTAAAGCAGTTAATAATCTGGAATATATAGAGCTAGAGTGATGTCTTCATCATCCTGAGCTTCTTCATATTGTTATTAACGACTCTTTATTCATTTTTTGTTTGCAATCTCATTTTCCATAATTTATTATCTAAAATGTTTCCTTTTCAGGTCTTGGATTTACCAGCTTTCCTGCAGGCGTATTATCCTACTCTCACAACTGCTAAGCTCTTGTTTGACTCCCTGGATGCATCGCTTCATTCTGCTGAAACTCAAGAGCTTTCCGAACTGACTGAAAAGAGCCTAGAAACAGAAAATTCCATGGAACCGTTGGACTCCCTTGTAGTACCCTCAGGTCAGTTTTCTAGATGTATAATTCCCTGCTTTCCAAATGCATTTACGTAATTTCAAACAGAAAACTGTTTTTAAAACGGTTCCTTTACAAAAATACGTGGTTTTTAGATGTTTATACCTCAACATTTATCTTCATTGCTCAGTCCCACTGAAACCTGTAGACCAGTGAATTCCATTTAAGCATGATGGCACTGGATTATTTGGATATAAACCTAAGTGTTTCCTTTACTTGGTATAAAGATACGCTTCTATTAATATTGTAGACTTATGAAAAAAGAATCGCACTTGCACATTATTTATGTGCAATCCTGCTATGTAGAAATGACAGACTTACTCGTAGCTTTTGTTATGCAAGAAGTGCAATTACACTCTAACTTCTTTTGGCAATAATGAAGCATCTTAAATATTTTAGTGATCTTTGCGCTTTTTATGCATACGTATTCATCCGAAGTTCATTTCAGTTGGTACAGTTCTCAACTGCGAATATTTTTATTACATATTGCTATCGTTATTGACATGTTATTGGATTATGTTTTCCCCTATCCTGATGTTCATATTTTCTTCAGCACCTGCTCCCGGTCACGCATATCCTCCATATTTACCTGAATCAGCTCTGATTGCAGGTTTAAGGTCGGGACAGTTTTTGCGTGGGATTCTACGTGTATCACGCTTTCGGCCAACTACCGAGGCTATGGTAGCACTAACAGAGTAAGCTTTTTGATGCTTTTCGAGTTTTTATTATAGGGAATATAGGATTGTAACACAGCACTAGTATCTGAGCTGACTGCAAAATATACCAGTCGCTAAATAAATCCCACCTTGCTTGTATGAGGTGTGTTCAGAGTTCGTTAATTTGCATAACCTTTAGAACCAGCATGATATTCTGGAATCCGTCAAATGGGATGTTCACTGTTTAGTAAATCACCTTACTCTACTTAATTCTCGTGGGACAAAACAGCTAAAGGCAGATAAAAGTGTTAGAGGTTTCTGACCGTATTTAGTTTGGTTAAATTGCTCGTTTAAGGTAAAGCTGTATGGTGAGAAATATGAATCCGTATCTGAAATAATGAATCTTTGCCCATTAGTTGGTTGGAACATGTATTACGTATCTTCACTTACCGCCTTCCTTGACTGGTAATGTTAACATTATGTTGGTAAATATTAACAGATACACAACAAGATAGTTTATAATTTCACTGACTATTGGCTTGTCCCGCTTATGGCGATATACGTTGCCCAAGTAGAGTCCTTGGAATACCAAGAATCAGCTGATGGTGATTCTTGATGAGGTAACTAAAAATCATCTACATTGCTGTTGATATTTTCTACTTTGTTATATCACAACATTTCTTTCTTTTCCATATTAATTTGAAGTGTGATAACTTGAATAGATACACACCTACGAAGACTTCATCACTAATTTGTCGCTAAATGATGTCCTTGTAACAAATGCGTTAAATCCTGTTTCTTCGTCTTATAACGTAGTTTCTAGGTGTAGACCTGGATAATAGAAACAAAAAGTAGCTACCAGTTAAGGGGTTAATGACGAAGCACTTGTGAAAATATATGTCATAGTATTATTTAAGTGCAGTACTGCAAACCAAATTTTGTATTCAGATGGATTCAGTCCCTATATAAATGCACTATAAATACCTCAAAATCTTAAGTATGAAATCTATAGCTAATTTCAATAGCGAATGGCACAATGTTGTTTTTTTTACTGGACAATTTTATATATTTAGTGAGTTTCTATCGTTTACTGAAATGTTCATTTTCGATTGTAAATACATTTATAATTATACTGATGTCCTACTACTCACTTGTAGTGCCAGTGCAATAAAGCATCAACCAGAACTTAAAGAGGCATTGGCTGCTCGAAGTGAGATTGTAATTCACGGACTACAGCATCGCAACAGAGCTGTTGATGGAGATGTAGTGGTAGTACGTTTGCTTCCTCGGGTTCATTGGAAACCTGTTTCATCAAATATCAGTGCTCAAGAAAATTGTGAGTAGATGTAGGTTGTTTAATTCATTCCTTTTCAAACATTTAATCAACATATGCTTTATTGACAGGTAACTATGATGTCAAAGATTTTCATGATGACATCTATTATTCATAGCAATTTCAAGATGTTATTCTGTCTTGAAGTTCACTTAGTTGCGTTAAAGATTTTGATCATATACATAAGTGTAGAATAACCCATACATAATTATTTCAATATTAACTTAAAACCTTGAGACGAAAAATAAATCCAATGAATAATTTGTACACAGGATTGGATACTTGTTAGTATTTCTCTTTTCTGTATTGTTTTCCTCACCGTCAAGTTCACTTAACTATGCCGCTTCATGAATATCAATGCTAAAGTAAATAACATGCCTTTTCTTATATTGTAATGACTTGTATTCACATGCAATTATACCGAGAAAACTTATCTGGGTTTATCATACCAATTTTGTGTTTGTTTTCAACCATTCTTCAATAAATGTAAACTTGTTTGTTAGCGTTAAAATTTGGGATGTTCGTTTTATTTGGAACTGGCCAACTGAAATAAAAAACATACCGCTCACCAAATAAATGCATTTGAATATGCGCTCGGTAATTAAGATTAATTTTACCGTCCGATTACACAAACCGTCGTTGGTAAAGTGTGATTTAAATTCATGACCCACTGTGTGGAAGTGGAATACTTAAGACAGTGAGCCATGGCAGAATAAATGAATAATCGTGGATTCTCATGATAAACTCTGCGAAATAATTGGCTTTCTCCGTAGTCTTGTAGATAACACCACGGAGTATTTTATCTTACTCGGAGTAATAGCTTTGTCACTCACTGACATATATTGGCATAGTAAGCTGGTGAAACTCGAGGGGAAGGATACGCTTGTCATGAGTTCTATTGCTTATCACCATTAACAAAACATTTGAAATTGTGTCAATATAAAAATTACGAAATCGCAGTTTCATACGATTTATCTCATGACCGTAAATTACCCAACTTTTAACAATGACTCTATTAAAATTTGTCTCTTTATTGTAGTCACTTAGATGCTTGAGTTTCTCCAAAACTATAATGATGACAAAGCAATGATGTATTATCCGGTAGATGTGCAGAATGTTGTTCTTCTTTTGACACCATCGATTGTTCGTGATTGTTGTGACCATGTATCATCATCTAAGTTTATTTCAATAATTTCTTCCTGGTTGTTTTTGGATCCGCTGTAACTGGAAATTTGATCATTCTCCCAGTAACCCACAAAATAATTCTCTCATATGTAGAAATAATATAATACTTCTCTGTTTAGTGTATCATACATAGGCTGTAATAGTTTTCTGGTGGTTGTTGTTCTAATTCACTTTCAGTGTAAAGTTCTGAAGTCTTGCTAAATTATGTCACCGATAAAGACTTACAGCCACATGTAAAAGTGTAACACTTAGACGTTTTTATGTTGTATACGTGTATACCAATGTCATTATTGATGTTTTTTATTTCATTTTATTATATTGCGTATGTATTTTGAGAATTAAATAGAAGTTTTACCTTTTCAACTATGTAAATGAGATCATAGAGAAGGCCATTTTAAAACAACAGGATATTTTTCAGTTATCTAGTTTTTGGTTATTTCAAATGTGTACCACAAATTTTCCTATGGTTCTCCTATTTAGGTGTAGCTGAAGTTGTAAACGATACAACAAATATGTCCGACAATAAACCTGATCAAAACAACATTGAATCAGTTTCAGTATCAAGTAGTTTACCCTGTGGTTTTGTAGTTGGGATTGTGAGTCGAAATTGGCGTGATTATGTTTGTACATATGTAACTAAAACCTCTGAAGTTCCATTAGAACCCAAAGGTGAAAGTGGGTGGATCATAGTTACTCCATGGGATCGGCGTATTCCCCGTATCCGTCTGCATACCACACAAATTTCCAAGTTATCTCGCGAACGGTAAGCAATAAATAATAAACAATTTACAATAACCAGTTTAATATTTCTGTATTATATTTTACTAAATAGGCTATTGCATGTTAATGGGTGATAAACAGACCTTAGAGTGTCACTTATTTTAAAGCTATGTAAATAGTCTTATATGCTACTTACTCAGTCCTAGTCAACAGGGACTCATTTGCTTGATATTATGATATGTAGAAATATGAGGATTGTACGAATTTAGTAAAGCTGACAGGTATCTGTAAACAACCTTGACGTTTCTCAGTAACGTGTTAGCCGATTATTATCCTCATTCTCGTTTGGTTTTACTTTACATTCCAACAGAATTAGTCTGACACTATTCCACAGATTCAAATATAAAATTATATTATGTAGCAAACTTTTTGCCATCGTTATAATTAATTTACTATTTTAATGCTAATCAAAAATGTGGTTGCTAAAAGTAATGATAAAGTTCATCTCTATGTCGTTATGGCGTCAAATTTTTACGAGTTTTCTGAAGACCTCACTATTTAATGTTACCTTCAATCCATTCAAATGTATTAGTTCATTATACTGCATGATGACTGACTAATCGACTTGTTCAGTTCAACTTACCTCACTCCAAAGGAACATAAAACATGTGTAATTTGATCATGTTAAGTGAAGATGTATGGAAGAGAAAATCAATAACTGAAAGTTGGTAAGGATTTCAGAATCCGAATGATGACGTAGAGGCATACATCTTTGCTGTTGTAAGAGATTTTGAGTAATCAGTCTGCAGGCATTGCTGCTTATTATTCTGAAAGCTCCATTTGGTGTTTTGGTCTAACTGTAGCAAATTTCCAACCTAATTCTGTTTCAGCTAATATAGCTTGTTGAGGAATTAGATGGTTGGGCATACGTAACACATGTCCTACATCTATTCCCAACATTGATCCACCTAACGTAAACATCTGAACAGAGGCACATATGATCAGACACCGTTTTTTTTCTTGTCTTAAGCCTTCATCAACAATTTATTACAATGTCTGCATCCTTTGAAGGGATATTCTGACGTCATACCGGTACCAAAAATGGCTCAGGTTAGCAAATATTAAGTGAGTCCTTTGAGGTGCACTGAGATTTCTTCAGTAATCAGTTTATTAAGACTGACGCAATTCGCAGAATAATTGAAGTGGTCAAAGCAACCAACCATTTTACTACTTATCCTTGAACTAAGAGTTCATGCAGGGGAGTCTTGTAGCATCATCTTACATTTAACAGGGAGGCTGTCGGATGCCAAACATACTCAGATTGATCCTCTTATCACTATAAATTGCGATGGTCAAAGATCTAAACCGGTTTGATAAACCTACATGGCATTCACACATATTTTGGCTATTACCTTAATCTGGCCAATAATTCACCATTGTTCTGAACACCTCTGTAGTCATACCATCGTGTCCAACTGTTTTTCCTATTTTTAGACTAAAGACATCCTTCGCAACCTAGGTTAGGGTTGGGGGATTGATGCATACACCCCATTTAGACTGAATATGGATAGTGGGCTACATTCATATGGAAATCCCTTCCGATCTACCAACTGGGAAATTTATTATTTTCTGATGGAACTCCATTGTAAGCTATTATTTATAACCGACACCTCACTTTTCCTGTCTGTTTATTGAAAATTCTCTTATATATGGGTTCAGTTATAATTTTTCCAACTCTTTCCTTACGAAGTACTGTGCTTACATTCTGGTCCCATTATTTTAAATTCAGTAATAATGTGGATAACACTGTGATGGTAAAAGCCAAGAGACTTGGTAAAGAATGTTTATTTGGAATGTGGTATTTCTATGTAACAAAATTATGTACACATTATTTTCAAATCATTTGCACAGATATTCCGTTTTGTGCCACTTCTTTCCTTCGTATTTTATTCCTTTGCCTTCCCTTTCACGTCTCGCATATTTCTTTTCAACACCGAATCATTTGCCTTCTTTGATGTAAAATCTATTTCCCTGCTATTTGATATTTTTGTGCTGATGAACATCTCTTTACTTACTACTGATAAATCTTGTCAGTAGCAAATGCCAAAATATTAATTTTTTTCCCAAGCTGCAAGTATTATTCATCTTCCTGATGTTTGCAACTCTTTTTACAAATATTTTTTTCAAATGTTTAGTTTTGTAGTGCGTATCGATTCATGGGAATCAAATTCAGCCTATCCAAGTGGGCATTTTGTGCAAAGCCTAGGATGTATTGGTGATCTGGAGACAGAAACACAAACTCTTCTGATAGAACATAATTTGGCTATTCGAAGCTTCACAGATGCTCAGGTATACTATTTGCATTTAAGATTATGAAACTATGCGTCACTTAATTTTTGGATCTATACTGTATTTAAGTAGGCGACTTCCCGTTGATTTTTGTTTAGCAATATCATGATATTTTTACGCGAAGCTCCTGTAATCATATTTTTGAGAAACGTACTCCATGTCCGAATTCTTTGTCGTCATTATAAATTTCCTACTTTTATTACAGGATATTGATTATCACTTCTTTGTGACTGAACCCTACGCTTTTAGTTATTCATTTTGCTTTAAATTTCCTAACAGATAGCTGAATTAGCTCCTCTCAGTGTTCAACGCCCTTGGAAGGTCGATCCAGAAGAAGTGAAGAGACGCAGGGACCTTCGATCGCCTAGTGTTTCAGGGAATCTAAATTCCGAGGATGTGCTTATTTTTAGTATTGATCCACCTGGCTGTCAAGATGTAGATGATGCGTTATCAGTTCAATGGTTACCATCTATAGTAGACAAATATGGCACAGAACACAAACGTATTCAGTTAGGAGTTCATATAGCTGACGTTAGCTTTTTTGTTCCTTCTGGTAGCTATATTGACAGTGAAGCAAAGAGACGTTCAACAAGTATTTATCTAGCTGATCGTCGATATGATATGTTACCAGGATTACTAAGTGGAGATATATGTTCACTTTGGAGTGGTCGTGATCGGTAAGTAACATGTGTTCTTCTAATTACACCAGTATTCTAGTGTCAGCCTTATTAAATCATCTTTCTCCTTTTAAATCAAAGTGATATGGTGTTGATGCATATTTGTTTATTATAACAACAAGAACTAAAGCAAAAAAGATGTATTGTCTCGGATGGAAATTCAGGTAGTGCAGAGATTCAAGCTGGCCGCCGTTATAATCTAATACTAGACGATTGATCTAACTTCTGTTTCTTTCTCGAGTTTCTATAGTCATTTGTATACGTTTCTTGTATTCTGCAAGGTTAGTCATTATGATTAACAACTGTACTTGGAACCATCGTCCTATAATCATATTCTCTTCTTGTCTACAAAGATGTTTTCATTTCATTTCAAAAGCTTATTAGTAGTCAAACTCTATGGATCAGTGACTTACTAACGTTTATTGTGCAGTTACTACAAGGCGAAATGTATTTGATCAAATGTTGTTGGTAATAATAATAATCTTTCTGCCTGTTTTCAAGATAGAACTACATCGATGTGCAGCACTCCATTTAGCACGCAAAGCAAGAGAAGAAAGTAGAAGAAATGCAAATTAGAGACAGTAGACAGGGATGAGACAAAATGAATAGTAATAACGAAGAACAAAACAATTTCATTGGATATCATAACTCACAAGGAGTGGATGCGTCTGCGCCAGCCATTGAGAACGATTTGGAGCCATATCACCAATCGTTTCCAACCACTGGTTTTTACCGTCTCGAGGACCCTAACCAGGAAGCCAGTCTACACCTTCCCACGTGACTGGCTTAAACTAACTGTTGTGGATTTCATTGACTGGTGCCATGTTTTGGTTTGACCGCCACTAGCTCTTTTTCAGTCTGACCCTATATCAGCTAACATTGCCTGATGTTGAGGAAGGCGATGACTAGGCATACGTAACACATGTTCTAACCATCTCAATCAGTGTAACTTCATAGCCTCGTCGATTGATTTCCCCTCCTTACCTAGAACTCGACGCCTAACCTCATTATTGCTCACCTTATTATACCACCTCACACACAAGATAGAGCGCAGGAACCTATGATCAAAGACAGCTAATGTTTTCACGTCTTCCACGCTTAATGGCTAGGTCTTACAGCCATAAAGGAGGACAGAGTGGACTGATGAGCAGTACACTCGCCCTTTGGTCGAAAGCCGGATGTCACGTCTACGCCAGAGACGGCGTAAACTGGCATATACGAAACTAGCCCTCTGTATCCGTGCTGAGATTTCGTCATCGATCAACTTGTTGGCACTGGCTGCTGCAACTTCCGAAATAATAATAATATTCTAACAATCACTGAGCATTATAATAAAGGTTTTTGTATTTCCCAATTAATGAAAAACAAAACGATATTGTTTTTACTGACGTTTCGCTATTTAATGCTAATAGCTTTATCAAAGTATTGCACTATATATATATATATATATATATATATATATATATATATGTTATATAATCACTGAACATTGTTAGATTCCTATTTTTTTCCATTACCTTCTGAAATTGTCTTACTGCAATCTCATAAGCAGTCTTTCTGCAGCTATACCTGTTTAACTATTGATTGTTATGTTATTCATATTTTGACCACTTTAATTTACGTGTTATTCTTGTAAAATTAATTTATTCTATCCATTTCCACCTTTTAAATCTGTATTGATTTTCTTCGTTAACTATTAACCCATTGACACTGTTTAATTATTGTTAACAAACTTATCGCCACTTGATTGGAAAACTGTTGTATTGTAATTAAAATGCTATATATATTAGAGTAGAGCCAAATATGAGGATCTAATTGAAAAGTAAATATTTCTTCGCTCAATCTTTCTGTTATTCATATATACCTACACACATAACAGTTGGCTGTGCATTTGAATTATGTGATCACTTTTGTCGTTCGTAGGCGTAAATCCTAGATAGTATATTATTTCATTGACTTTTTTTTAATAGATATGCTGTCAGTGTTTTATGGGAAATAGACATGGATTCATTTGAAGTATTAGATATTTGGTATGGTCGAACTGTGATTCATTCCAGTTATAAATTAACTTATGAAGTTGCTCAACATATATACGATTTGATTACAACAGAAGAAATATTATCGAGTAGTCATAAAATAGAAGATTTTATCAAAAAAGCTGGTGGCTTGGAAACTATTAAAAAGGATATACCTGAATTGAAAGATTTATCCATGGTATGTTTCGTATCTTATTCTAAATATTAATTTGTCTTATTCACATATGATAACACAGTGGTGAGTTTTAAATTGTTTAAATTGACAACCCTGGTGTTTAACATTCTACAAATAGATACTTTTCTGTGAATTAATTTCAAAGCATGTATGGAAACTAGTCAGTCAGTTGATGAGTTTATTTTTCGAAAATATTAGCTCCCTACTTTTCCAATGATTCGCTAAATGAGATGTTGTCACATGACAGAATCTACATTCGACTTCCTATATACCCCATAATGGGAATATTTTTGTAAAGTTGTCTTAATTTTCTACCAATTAACCTCTAATATGTTTTTGTTTTTCAAAAAAATTTCAGACTGATTGTATCACAGCTTTGGATAAGCTTAGTAAATCTATCTCACTGTTAGTTGATATTGCCTCAAATGTACGTACTCGTCGACTTGCTAAAGGCGGATTAGAATTGGAAAGTGTAGAAGTTCGAGTTCAGTTTGCTGATCCAGAAACACGTACTGGGAAATTAGAAGATCTTATACCAAAAGAGGTATTTTTAATTGTATTCATTTTTATTTATTTATTTATTTTTGATCGAAATTTTTGTCCAATTCTATTGATTGAGTTCTAGCTGAATCAATCGAAATAGTTTTCCTAAAATAAACAACATCTTAGTATACTTAAATGCTTCATGCGTATCATCAATTTCAAGACTCATGTCTTACATTTAACAATAGAGGTGATTTAACTAGATGGTTTATAATAATGTAGTTATATAATATGTCCTTCGTGCCGTCAAAATTTAGAGTACTTTTAAAATATCGGTTACGTGTATTGGTTATCACTTATAACGAGTGACAGTTGGTAGACACGCAAATGTTAGTGTGTGTTTGTGTGTTTAGGTAAATTTACGGCAGATAGAGCAATATTCGTTGAAGCATAATCATTCTAGACCACCTTTGGCATCGTTGTAGTGTATTCCAATTTAAATACGTTTAATGCACTTTGCATCACTATAAACAGTTTTGGTATAATTATGTGTCAAGTAGTGTCTTGTTGCTAAGGTTACTCCATCTTTTTTCGTTAATGTTTCGTATAATTGATCTTACGCAAATCCTGTAACTAATGTTTCACTACCATATAAAATAGCTAACGCATTACTGAGCTGTATATTTCTGGTCGATGAGTTTAAATTTTTTTCTTTAATTTCCTTCACGTTCCCAGTGGAACCTAGGGCTTCAAGCTGGAGGCTTGAAGTTTCTGTATCGGTGTTTATTTTTACAGGATGGGGTTGCTAGCTTCATGCCCAACTTTCCCTCTTTACCAGTCTCATTACTGAATAAGTGAGGTAAAAGAGTGCGTCGGCCGGTGATCGAACCCCGGACCATGTGCATGGTCGACGAGCACTGTGCCACCGACACACGATGGTCGATGAGTAATAACGGAATTACTGTTCATGTTGGAATACTTAACGTGGATACAATCCTCAAACCGTATTTTCTTATATATATATTTACTCTTATGTTAAAACAACTATACATCTCCCAAAAACTCATCTCTTTATTATCAAGTTCATCAAATTTCACTACTTAGCTACCTTGACGTCTTGGAAGAATTTGTAAGGATAGTCATAGGAGAGATTAAAATAATGGTGAGTTCAGATGACTGCCTAATTGCAGTGTCACAGAGATCAAATTTTTAAGAATGAAGTGCACTTGTTCGTAATTCGTTTAAAAAAAATTTTAATCAATGCTTAAGAAGAACGGATGTTGATAAGTTTGAACCGCTTGATAGCATGTACTATGTGGTACAAATAAACATGCAGAATTTTAGGAATTTATCAAAAGATGGGGTGGGGGGGTTGATATTCCATAAACACTATGAAACTGTTTTGATCAGTTGTCCAGTATTTTTGCCGTATTCATCACTCTATTTTATTTACATTTCTGTTAAGTGATTGTGAGAATATATCTGTTTTTTGTTTGCAATAGCCTCTTGCCATGCACAATACTGTAGCAGAATTGATGATTTTTGCAAATCATTGGGTTGCTCGTCAATGTGTTGAATCTTATCCTGACCGTTCTTGCTTACGTCGCCATCCACCACCACGTCCTGAATTTTTCGATGAGTTAAAGCGTTGTGTGGCTTCCAGAGGTTTTGTTCTAGAAACAGATTCCAATCTTTCACTTGCAAATTCCCTAGAGAATGCATCTGATCCTAATGATCCTGAGGTAAGAGAAACTAAACAATATGCTTTTGAACTGAAAATACTATTTATCTTTTTAGAAGCTGTACATTCATTTTCCCTTCTATTTATTAACCTCCCTAGAGTGATCAATAAATTTTCTGAAATCTGTGATAACCCCAACGATTTGACCAACTCCATCGTTTTCTCTAGCAACTTAAAGATTTTCTTTTCAGTTTCATTCGTTTTTCTGAATCTTTCTAGTACTTTCTAATGCCTACAAAAGTATAAAGTATAGAGATTTAAATCGTGCATAATTCAACATTGCGTTTGTATTTGTCTATTAATGCATGACAGGTTCTACGCTCTGTTTGACTACTTAAATACGAGCTACCACTTGACATCATTCGTCTTTCATCTCATAAATATGTCTCGTATGTACAGATTACAAATCTGTTTGTTTTCTATTACATTTCTTTACAGGCAATAATTACAATTGTTGTATAGTTTTAGCTTGAATATAGTTTAGAAAATCACAAAATATAATCTGAATCAAAAGTCATAAGAACATAATAAAATGAATTGTGTTTCATGTTACCCAGCTGTTATAAATGTATTTATGAGAGATACAGAAAATCAAAACAAGTGATTCAGAGAAGAGACTCTTTTTAACGAATTTATTATCGTACTGTGCAATCGTATATATATATATATATATATATATGCGTTGGTGGCACAGTGGTTAGGACTGTTGCCGACCATGCACATGGTCCGACGTTCGATCCCCTGCCGACGCACACCTGATATCTATGGTCGGCCTTCAAAATTTGGGCTACCGATTATCCGTGCTGAAAATTCCATACTTGTACCAAAAATACGGTGTGGAATCAAGCTGTAATCAAAAAAATAAAAAAATATTTATATATATAATTAAGAAATTATATCAGGTGAGGGAATGGAATCATAGGTGTGAATACATAAAATAATAATAATATGAAATGCACTTAAAATGTTTGTGATTGTAATCATATTTAAATGTCAAGTGGCAAAACAATATATGTCATACATAGAATAGTTCATAGGATGTATAGAAGGGATGTGCAATCATAGGATTAGTAGGCAAATAGAACCAGTATCTGATTGGTCTAAAGATTTCTTTGTTAATTATATATAGAATAATAATAAGAACGTTACGTGACATGGTGTGAAGGATGAGTTAAATCTTCTAAGAAAAATCCTAATAAAAAATAGATTGCCACCACGTTTTATAGACAATAACATACAGTCGAAACCTATGAAATGTAACCTTGATATGAGCAATAACTTGTGGTCGAAACTTCATCAGTAAACATTACTGTACAACAAACACTGTGTGGTTTTATCAAAATACAATTTTTACCCATAATGGAGTTATACCCCCTACCACAGTGCCTAAGTTTTATCCTTATATCAACAATCCGTAATCATATTTTGCCTCTACCTATTTTTCGCTTTGTTTATTCAATTCGTATTTTCTTCCTTTATTACGCCAGTTGTTACTACTGTAACAACAGACGACAAGGGCCAGGCAACAGATCGTTTTATTAAGGAAATCAGCACGTATTTATATATATTTCATGTACATTTTTATAGCTTATTCAAGCAGACAAACACAGTCTTTTGATTGATTGTTTCTTGCTCAAGGTTATTCTGCACTGCTTGTGACTGGTTTCTCAGAAAGTTAAGCCATATATCTGCTAATCGTATTTGCCCACGTTAAATCTGCTGTGATTGGTTGTTGAATCAGTCCTGTTCATATTTTCTCACGGCCAATATTAGCGACCAAGACATTAACGTAAATTAATGTCTACCAATTGGCTAGCAGCCTGCTCTCACCACACTACTATTGTCCTCACTTTGAATTATCCCTGGTATTATTTCACTCGTCCCACTTGTCATTAAATTGAGTCAATTTTGTTTTGCAACATTAAATTCTTTGTTATCAAATTGCGTAACGTTTTTATTTTTATTCTGTTTGTCTACTAATCCTATAATTGCACACCCCTTTGAAGTTCTAGACATCCAATGAATAGTTTTGTATTATGACGTTAATTGCTTTGCCACGACATTTAACTATTAGTACAATCGTAAGCATTTTAATTGCATTTCATACTATTATTATTATTATTTAAGGTATTCACACCTATAATCCAATTCCCTCAGTGGATAAAGTTTCTTAAAAACCACATATAAAAGAGTGTACAGCTTGGTACACACTCGTATTTCTTTTCACACATCAGCATATAAGTGAATGATTAGCATTCATTAGTTTCGCTGACTTTAGTTTGCATATCATGATATTCAGCTGAGGGATTCTAATTGGTAGTTTTACATAGACATAATTCTAACTATATATAATGTTTTTTGAGTTTAACCTTGTGGCTGCCTTCATTTAAAATTAATCATATTTGTGCATTAATTGTTTCCCCTTACAACTAAGTAGGTTAACAAAGTAATTCGTCAACTTGTTACACGTGCAATGACAAACGCATTGTATTTCTCCACTGGTTCACCAAATATGACACGAGATCAATTTTCGCATTACGGTTTAGCCCTCAATTTGTATACACACTTTACATCACCTATACGACGTTATGCTGATATAATTGTAAGTTCTTTGATTTTGTTCGGGCATCTAATTATTTTAGTTTTCTCTTACGAACTAAAAAACAATTTGATTAGTCACTAGTTAATAGCCAATGTCATACGCCTGTAACAACAGGAGACCAAGGCCAGGCAACACATCTTTTATTGAGAATATCAGCAGATATTTGTAGAATTTTGTATGTACGTTATTATTCGTTATTGTTAGCAGAGAGGTAGCTTCTTCTGATTGGTTGTTTTGCTCCTGAAGGTTATTCTGTCGTCTTTTTGTTGCCGTTTCCTAGACAGTCCGTTGATATATCTGCTAATCGTATCCGCCCACGCTCTCCGCTGTGATTGATTGTTGTGTTAGTCTTTGTTCTTGTTTTCTTCTCATGACCAAGATTCGGGACTTAAACATTGACGTAAATTACTGTTTACCAATTTTGTCTATCAGAGAGCTCACACCACACACCTAGTTCTTGTTCTCGTGGACACTAAATTCTATCAGTCAAGTCTGCATTGTGGTCACCAAACTACTTAGTGGGTCGTCACGGAAGCGCACTCTGAATTGATGTTGCATGGTTGGAAACAGTCTGCAGGAAACCCTTGGCCCCTAGATTTTGTGGTTGTTGGTACTCGTCAGCAAGGAGTATCAGTGATCTTAAAAGACTTCATATCCCCTATGATATTCAATCCCGCGTTACCCGGTGCTGCAGTCAGAGATTTTACCACGTCTATTTGGGCTCACGATGGACCTTCTGTATAATAGCTGTAATGGATATTTTCATTCATCACTAGGTAATAAACAGTGTCATGCGTTTGGTCCTTAGTGTAATGCGGACTGAATTGTGTCAACGAACACAGTTATAAGTAGAGCTCCGTATTCATTGTCATCGTAGAAACGATTCGCACACGTCAAGGTGGTCTGTTGTGACTTTAATTTATCGACTTTTTCGCCGACTGCAGATACAAATGTCGTGGGAAATTTGAATGTTATCAAGGATGCAAGTGTACCTTGTTGATGGATGCCAGAAACTTTGAGATCTGTGTTTATGATATTCAATGGATTACCTGCATCCAAAAAGTTATTTAAACGTATCAGTTTATGCTATCACTTGAGATATTCAGGCCAGTTTATTTCAAAACTATTTTTCAATAAATATTAATTTTTCTGCATATCATTCCATCAGGGTATTTTTTCTCTTGAATTTTTTGTTTATTGATTATAGGTGCATCGTCTTCTGCTTGCATCACTTTCTGATCTTAGATCAATTCATAAAAAAGAGGATGAAGTCACTTCAGAAAATACTGAGTTAACAATAGTTTCAAAAAGTGAAACAGAAGAGTTATTTACACCAGAAGATTTATCACGTATATGCCAGCATATGAATGAACAACACTGGGCAGCTCAACAAGTTCAACGATCCAGCTTAGAATTGTTTCAAGCTTTATTCTTTAAAGATAAACCGGTTGATGATCCATCACGTTATGCTGATGGTATTATTTGTCAATTAAGGGGAACCAATGGATTTGTTGCATTTGTCCCTAGGTATGCTTTTGTTGTTGTGAATGCAAAACTATCCCTTTTTTAGTTGTATATATCGTCTAGTGAGTAGTGATGGAGAGAGAGAATCTTTAATTTTTAATGTATTGTGTAATTTTTATACAGTTATTTAGTTTTGTGAGAGAAAACACTCTTGATTCATGTCATGATTACAAATGTGTCTTTAAGATATCAATTCTCCTAAACTCAAGTTACTTTAAAGTCATTAGGAAACGATTTTTTAAAAGTTCAGTATCCATTTCCGCTTTTTGATTTCAACTGTGTACGACACCCTAATTGAAAATAACTATCCAGAAAAGTTCATCACGAAACACATCACCGAGAAAGCAGAAAAGGACTATTCTGCATCTGCAAAAATAAGAAGCCTTTATATATACGAGTGCAATTCAGGGGTGACGCACCCAGTGGAATAATTACTAACAAGTTGCGAAAATCTATTCAAAGAACTTTTAATGCTGGTAAACTACAAGTCATATTTTCTACACGATTGATGATAATTCCTCGATTGAAAGATGAATTACCAAGATTAGCCATTTCCACTTGTATCTACCAATTCAACTGCGCTTGCGTAGCGACTTATATTGTCCTTTACTCTAAGAACTTGATTTTTCGTGCCCAAGAACATCTACCAGTATAGCTAAGCAAAGGTGAAGTACAAACCACCAACAGTTCGATATTAGACCACCTGGTCCAAACGGGCCAGCGGTGACGAATCCCCCTCTATCATCTATCGGGTACAAAATAAATTGCCGAAAAAATCCAGGTACCTAGCTATAAACAGCGGAGGCTATCGCGATTTACGTGAAACAACCAGTGCTTTCTGTGCAAAAGAAGCACTTCACTGGCCTTCAGTGGAGACTATAAATTCATGAATTTGTATTATTATCTTTCCTAATCTTTCTGATATTCAGTGTATTGTTATATTGATGCTATCGAACTGTAATCCATTGACAGTATTATTACTGCTTCGATGTTATTTGAACAACAGTAATGTTGTTAATAACACTAATTCACTGGCAATTATATATATATTCAAGTGTTGGTTTGTAGGGATTCGATTGGTTACAGGATTTCATCATGAGCTGACATTAGTTAGAGAATCATTAGAAAGCCTGGGAGTACTGGACAGCTGTTTCGTCCTAGTTTGGGACTTTTCGGCAGTACACACCCACCGGGATTCGAACCCAGGACCTTCTAATTACAAGGCGAGCTCGTATATCATTTAGCCACTGGGACCCGACCTAACGGCCCATGAATACTAACTTCTGTCAATTCACGACATAGCGCGACCCCTAGCCAATGTCTTCGGCGAGTATTTGTCCTCAAACCTGACCTGCCGTAGTAGGGTGCAGCAGGTCGGGTGTGAGGAAATATATATAATTGCAGAACCTTATGATGAAGTTATCGAAAAGAATACTGTTTTTTCAGTAACCATTCTTTGGGAAAATCCCTCTGTATTGTTTATAATGTGCACTATTACTTATGTTTTGTTCCATTTCACAGATATGGCATCAGAGGTGCAATCTGCATCAAAAACGCCAGTGGTCATATAGCATGGGCTGATTATACATCATCTGACTCTGGTACGATAAGTTGGTTAGAAAGTGTTCAAGATATGGAGGTATGTACTGATTATATATTATCAGTCGTGTGATATAAATCTCTACATGTATTGAGTAGTTGCAATATCAATCTTTAAAATCTTTTTTTTCAAAAGAATTAAGACTTCAAAATAGGTGAACGAATGTCTTTAGAATAATGTTTGAAACCTTCCTATACTATGGATCAGAAGGAATTATCAATTGCTTTTAAGGTGTACATCCTCAGGTGATATCGTTGGTAATACGCAAAGATGATAAGATTTGCGGTTATGTCATGGGAAAATGAAGTAGTTTTAAGCTTACTTCCAATGTGAATCGAATAGAATCGGTACTAGTTTGGTGGGATTTCTTTTCTGTTAATAAGGCGAATTCTCTAGTCTGTTTTATGTCTTAATTGTATGCACAGTTAGCGTTTAATTACAATCAATTACACAAAATATACCAACATTTCCAAACGTAGTAGGTAAGTTTAGAATTTCTGTTAATTAATATTTTCACACAGCGATTAGATAATATGATAATAATGAATTGTGAAACCGAGACCAAAATGTGCAGTTAGAATGTGCATACTAGTAGGGTAGAGGGGAAAACAACTTTTGTCATTCTGCGATTAGATAATAGAATAATAGTAATAACGATAAATTGTGAAACTGAGAATAAAATGTACAACTACAGCACCGCATGATATTAATAATACAATTAGCATTACAACTGAAATAAGATAAAAACATTAGGTAATATTTACAATTATCCTGTGTCACCGGGAGAGAAGTATTTTAGATTGGAGGCAAAGACCAAGGAAGAGGGAGGCATTGAACAAACTTTTCTGAAGACAGAGATTGAGTAGAAAAATCGACATGGCAACTGCCTCAGCTATGCTTAACAACCTAGGGAGTTGAAGTAGTACTCTGTATAAAATTGTTTATACTGAATTTTTGTCAATCTTGTGCGGGTGTATTCTGTGGTAGATCTAACTGCATCGCTAGCACACACATACGCACTATTTTAATATGTATTCCACACTTTTTTTCCTCATAATATCAGTCGTTTACGATCATGAAATATAATTCATGCATATATATACTCAAACACATTAATTTCAAGGATGTTGTGTTTAACCACCAGTGTTTCCAGTTTCGAATCCAACCACTCTTCATCTCATCACATTGATCAGATCGGCAATTATTTCCCTTCGCATTCTATTCTTATTCTTTGATGGTGTTGTTATTAAGACAATTTAAACATGCAGTTAAATTATTTCTCTATTTTGTCAGTAAAAACCGTATCATTGTAATATTGTCATTTGTTTTACTAAACTACTGTTAACAGTGGTTCATTGTTATTCATTAACTTTCTTTTCCACCGATTTATTCTTTATAGGTTGAACGTGTCTATTCATCTGATAAAATGGACTGTGGATGTTTAGAAGTTCGTAATATCAAAACTAAAGAAAATCAACGTTATTGTATATTTGATCATATTGTAGTAAAGATTCATGTCAGTGAATCTGTTGCTCATGGCTTAAATTTACGATTAGAACTTACAGGTCGACCTAAATCAACATTTAAAGGAAAAGCATCTGAAGCACAAGAACATTTAGCAACTATAAACACATCGTCTTGTACGCGTGTAGATAAAACCTTAATAGAGGTGAGTGGTAACTGACTAATGATCATCTTTATCTTTATCATAGTTTATTGGGTGATGTTTATTTGTCATTTGTTTGCTGAAAATCATTTATCTAAATGTCTAGTTAATTAGGATAACTGATTTCGGTGAAATCATTCAGAAGATGAAAAGGAAAGTAGTTCATGTATTTAGTTAAAGTCGTGTATCTGTATGTTTGATTCATGACATTTTAGAATTATTTTTGATCAAAGTATCCACTACAGTCCTCCAGTAGGTCAATCGCGAGCCCGAATAGCTCAGTATTAGCGTCTCTGACTGTAGCACTAGATGACGCGGGTTCGAATCTCAAAAGGGAAGTGAGTTCCTTCAAGGTTGCAGATACGCCTTGATGACTCGTGAATGCGAACTAGCACGAAACCTAGGTCCAAGGCTTCCTACCAATTGTCTCCAACCACTTAGAATTACTATTCCTTAAACCGTACTCTACATCTGGAGGCACGCATATAATACTATGTTACTATGTCGGATTTGAACTACTTTTTTAAATAAGGCAATTTTCTTACTCATCGTGTTTCGTTTTACTTTACCGTTCCATCTTGACATGTTTCTCTATAAATTTAGCTACTCACGATATACTACCTTTTAATTGAAGTACATTCGAATCTGTCTGCCACCATACTGTTTTCTTCATAGAGTTTTATTTATGCCTTGTACAACTGTAACAACAGAAGACAAGGGTCGGGCGATAGATCGTTTATTAAGGAAATAAACATACATTTATAGATTTTCATGTACATTATTATAGATTATTGTTAGCAGAAAAACACAGTCTTCTGATTGGTTGTTTCTCACAGAAAGTTAAGCTTGCATCTCTTTGTGGCTGTTTCTTGAATGTCAGACCATCTATATGTTAATTGTATCCGCCTACGCAAAGCCTTTCTTCTCATTTTTCTCACGACCAATATTGGGGGCATAAACACTGACGTAAATTACTGTCCACCAACTTTGGCTAACAACCAGCTCTCACCACACTACTACCTACTATTCGTAATCTGAGAAGACGGTTATTATGAATACTTGTTCGCATAAATATTTCTTGTTTTGATTGGGTAATTAGAATTTCCAAATTACTGACCTACATTGGTTTCTTTATATTTGCAGTATTGGCAATAGAACCACTGGATATGATTAAATTACTTGTCTTTACTAATTTATCATTTATTGTATCGTGCGAAAACTGAGAGGGGAATAAGTTTCTGTTGGGAAGCATTATGAGGCTTGTTTATTTCACGAGTCTTGATTCACATTGCCAAGTGTTTGTAAACAATCTATCAATTATCTCGTTATGATTATTTGTAAATGGTTTCATTTTCGAACGGTAAACATAGATTAGATAATTTATAGGAACTCTAGTCACGATTTAGCCGAATAATCAATCGTGCAAAGATTAGGCACTGAGTGAATATTAGACATGTACGTAGAAATTATATTTTCATAAATCCTAACAAAATTCAAGTAAATTATTAAATTGGTATTTTTTAATGACCAATAGTAATGTCTTTGTGAAGACCAGAAATAATGTTGTTTTTATATTATATTACTCCAGAATTTAAACTGCTCACTTCCATATTTTGAATACTTTTTCTTTGATATTATACCAATAGGATGTACATACCAAGGATGCTGAACGACGTCGTAAACGTGTTGCAGATGACGAAGAACATGAAGACGTTGAAGAACGAAGTCAGTTAATCGCTCAATTACATTATCCATCGTCATTCTATCACAGATTCCGTAAATTTGTACGACAGTTCAAAACTGATGATATGGAAACTACTTGATTTTTGTACATTTTTTAAATAACATGCTATCGCTTCGCAAAAAAATATTCTTCAAAATGTATTTTTTTAAATTCTGAACCTGTCACGAGAAATATATACAGACACCTGAAGAATATGTTAACATCTTGAGTTTTCAGTGACCAAGTGACTTTAGTATGAGGTTATAGAAAAAAGTAAAATATGAAAAACAGCTTCTAAATCATCCTCATAAACTACGTTTAGATTTTATATCTCAGTCATGGGGGAAACAGATGCATTGCTGTGGACAGGATTAGTGGACTGCTTTCACGTACATTTTGTCGCTCTTCTCAACTAGCGGTAGTATTGGGCACCTTTGCTCAATATAGTTTTTCCTTGTATGGAGGATTTCACCATCAGTTAGAGGACCACTGGAAAACCTGGGAGTGCTGGATAGCCGTTTCGTCATATTTGGGACTCATCAGCAGTACGCACCCATCGGAATTCAAACCTAGGACCTTCTGTACACAAGGCGAGTTCGTAGACCATTGAGCCACTGGGACTGGCGCTCACTGGTGACTGGCCCTATTCAGGTGGTTAACCTGGGGTTCTAGTGGGAAGCCGTGACCAGTAGGGTACAGCATGTTGAAGATGAGGCATTAACTCGTCGAAGAAGACATTGCGAAGTGGTTGTGCTATGTCGTGAATTGGCAGAAGTTATAATTCAGGGACCATTGAATCGGGTCCCAGTGGCTCAATGGTCTAAGAGCTCGCCTTGTAACCAGAAGGTCTTGGGTTCGAATCCTGGTGGGCGCATACTGCTGCAGAGTCCAAAACTAGGACCAAACTGCTGTCCAGTTCTCTAACGGATGTCAGCTCATGGGGAAATCCTCCATACAACCAAACAAAACCAATACTTGAAAGTAGTTGTTTCCCTCTATCAGTAACATTTCAAGAGATACACTAGACAGCGATGTAGATAATCTACCTGAAGAATTGTTGTATGAGCTTTAGAATGCAGGTGATATGGTCTTACTAGGCGACAGAAAATGTCTACACATTCTACACTTAGTCAATTCAGTGTTATTACCTGTTAGTTGATAGTGGAGAATTCAGTAACTCAAAACGAATCAGACGGACATTATCGGCAAACATTCACTAACTTCTGCATATTGCGTAATGAATGCTCTTGAACAGAAATAATCTTTTTCCGTTCCTGTGTTTTCAACATTAATATTCGTCAGCGAAATAAAAAAAATTCTCTGTTACTTCGTTTTCAATCCGTTCAAATAATAGAAAAATACTGTGATACCGCAAAATCCTCAGTCAAAATACATAAATTGAGAATAGGAGTAATTACTACGACCCTTAACGAGGTGGAGTTGAAGTTGGCTGATTACAGTCTTACAAAATACAACTAAAGAAACGACTTGGTTTTAATTGAGTCAAAAATTATAATGACATCGAAGACTAAATGAAGTGAAATGAAATTTACTTACAACAAATTTAGTGTGATCGGCGTAAATAAATAGGTCTTGCAGAACGTTTTTGAATGCGGAGTTTGCTGTTCACGTATAACTCATTTTGCGGTTGTATGTGGGTGATGAATACGTAAACTAATATATTATCTGAGTTCAGCCCTGTGTATGCCTTTATAGGTTAATCATAAGCGACTGAATGACCTGACACAAGATAGTGTTGACAAGCAATAGTTTACCACCATTTTTCATCTTTCATCAAATAAACCGGATAATATTCAGCTACGTGTGTACTACCTAGCAAGTTTCATCTTGAACAGAATTGATTCTAAAACTGGACTTATGATTTATACAGTAGTTCACCGAGTTCTCAGTGAGGTCAGTCAGCTTAAAGATCCATTGTCTACACACATATTGATGCGTTCTGTAGAAGACAGTGACGTCATGCTTACTGGCGTCGTTCTGCAGTCGGTTGTACTAAAAGTAAGTCACAGGATCAGTTGTAAAGTCTCTAATTTCGGCCTGTATATGTACTTTATCATGGTGGTGAGGCCTGAATACCATGGTGACCCAATAAACTACACTGCCTGTTCCTGCAGGTCTTACAACGCCAGGAAGGTTGTTTGTATAGCAGTCACACTAAAGGCAGTTACTATAAGGTTTATGGGCTCCAAAACCCAATCAGATCGAATGACTTATGAACATATATTGGTCACCAGCAACCATGTGAACTTAGCTTCTGGCGCTGTTCTGCTACCTTGTGAGTTAAGTACTAAGTCAAAGCCTCGGGAATGATCCCTTGAGACAACCACCTGCTTCGGTCTGGTTGCCCGTACAGTATTTCAGCCTTCACACAGTCAATGAAACTGAACAACGTACTAGCAATAAAAGTAATCGTGCTCTCAAGCATTATCGACGTTTCAAATGACGCATTTCTTTCCAACATTATTTTATTCCTACTTTTGAGATCTACTTTTTCCATCCTTAGTGACTACACTTTCGTCAACCTTTCCCCTTTGTCCAATTTCTCAGTCTATGTGTGCTGTTTTGAGATGTCAGTGAAGAGCCTTCAAAATCGTGATCCCCGGTTTGACTAATATCCTGAAACCGCGTGTCGCGTTCAAGCTTGCCACCTACAATATTCGCACACTGATGCAAATAGGAAAACAGGCGGGTTTGGTAGGAATACTAGAAAACTTCCCTATCGACGTCTTATGTATTTCGAAGACCCGCATTCAAGGTCCCATTGAAACTTTTCCAAATATCTACTTCATCTGGAAAATCGGATAGTATGCACCGCCTGTGCTTATCCGGGAACCCTGTAGTAGCAACATCCGCCGTAGCTGATGTCGGTGGTGTTTCAAGTGCTAGGTCTGAAGCTGCATAACTCCGTTGAGTCCCACTTAAGAGTCGTTTATATGTTTTGAGGCTGGAAGTTTATATGAGATTAAGAGGTAGTAGGCCGGATAGGCTGTGCCATTTTTTACCTTTGCCTATGCACCGAACGACTGCGGTCTGGATGCCAATAAGAGTGAGTTTTACTAACAACTGAACGACCTGTTGAAACAGGTGGCTCAGAGGGATACTACAGTGCTCTCTGGAGACTTGAATGCACACATCAGGGCGTCTAGGTACAGATGAAAATTATCCAGGTGGTCAGTGGGTCTCACCTACTCGCAGGTCAGATTATGGAGGCCATCCTCTGGAGATTTGAGGAGGTAACAACCTGTTTCTGGCTAGCACCGAATTCCGGCACAGCCATTGCCACGGCATTATTTGGTATCCTTCCTCTGCGAATCAAGTCTGAACTCAGACTGGTCATGGTGCTGTCATTTTCCTATGTTGAGGAAACATAAAGGACCGTCGCTACTTCTGGAGCATAAAACTGAACTCCGATCAAGCTTCACTGTGTGCCAGGTTCGTCTCGCGACCTGGTGGGGTTCATGAGCGGCTTCATCTACTTATTGTTGTTTGCAAACTGATAGTGTCTGTTACCTCTTTGGAATAACAGGTTCAGTTTCATTCAAAGCTCGCTAGCAACCCTCCAAGTAGTGTAGATGAACACTGGCTAAATCTGCAAGTACCATACTAATGATGAGCGGAGTCGCTTGCGGGTTAGATGAATGCTCTGATAAAGACTACTAGGTATCTGTGAGTCCGTCGCAACTGTTGGATGAACGTTGGTCCATCCCGGCTGGTAGCAAGTGCAACAGCATGCGAAAGGTGCTTATGCGCAAACGGTAATGACGGAACGTAATGACCACGAAGCATAGTGGTGAAAATGTGAGTACGAGATCAAGTTTGCAGCTGCTTTTGACAACAGTGGGATCAGTTTCAGCTCATCCAAGCCACCACCAGCAATAAACAGGGTCTGAGCGAGACAGTCTGTGAGGCAGGTGGCACACTAGTTACCAATCTGGAAAACTACATAGAACGCTAGGCAGAGCACCTTGAGAACCAGTTAAGCTGATCATCGGCCGCAGCACGTTCCGTCACTAGCTACAGTGCCTTTCGGCCTGTCAATGTCGATCCACCAGTCGAGGAGGTTCAGAAGGAACTCTGAGTGTTGAAACGGCGCAAGGCAGCAGGCCCAGACAATAAACCCTGGCTCATTCTGCAATTAACGGCCCGCTCGAATCTTTAGACTACCTGAACTTACATCCGATAAAACGCATCCTTTTTGCTTTAGTTCTTGTTGTTATAATCATTCAGTTACAACAATGGGTCTCCAAATGTAGCCGTGCACATTTTTAATTCGCTTCAAGCCTAACTTTGGGCATTTCTTTGAGACCAGAAAAAATGCTGTAGTGGAATAATTTATTCTTCAGATTTAACATCACTGCGTCACTTGCAGTACTGGAGATGGCTATTTCCCTTGAAACTACTAGATGAAGTTTAAATATCATGCAATAAACCACGCTGAAAATAGTGTATATTATGTAAACGTAATTTCACGATAAGGCTGTTGATATTGTCATTATGTAAAATGGTGTCGAGATTCTCTTCCGGCTTTGAAAAGTTTGTTCTGGAAAGTTTGGGAAATTGAGGATATGCTATCAATATGGAATGAAATCATCATCCTCTGCGTCTCCTAAAAGAGTCTACATAACACAAGTGCCAACCATGTAGGTATCAGTTTACCGACAACCGCGTCTAAAATATTGGCATCACCACACATATTGCAGGCCAGGAATCCTTGTGTTTCTTGATATTAGTACTTCCGAAGATTGGTTGGATAGAACTTTTCTCTGAAATGTCTGGTATAGAAGGATGTACCTGTGAAATTTGTAAACATCCTAAAAGCCTTATGTAGAAGCACCTCAGGTTGAGTGAGGGGATACAACCAGCTACCATCACTAATCCCAAAAAGCTGTGTGGTTGGACAGGGTTGCACGATCTCTCCATTCCTCTTTGACTTTGTCATCGATGACATCATGGAGTCAGCCCTAAAAATGGTGTATATCTGCCCCTGAATAGGGACTTCTTGACCTCCACTCAGCAGACGATGTCTTCATTCCGTGTGATATCAAGGAGGCTGCCCAAATCACTCTTAACCAGTTGGCGATCAGTGTCTCTGAGTATGGTATTTGTTTTGAGCCGCCTAAGTTCAAAGTACTGTCACAAGATTGGCAGGAGCCTGTACCTGCACTCACTCTCGCAGATGAAGTGCTTGTGTATCTGGG